GCCAGAGATCCCAATACATATATATATTTATTTATATTATTATTATTTATTATATTATTTATTATATATTATTATTTATTATATTATTTATTATATTATTATTATATTATTATTATATTATATATTTATATATATATTTAATTATTAATATATAATTAATTAATAATATTACCATATTATTAATATTATGTAAATAATATAATATAATTATATAATATATAATAAATAAATATATATATAGTATAAGTATATGTGTGTATGTATAAAAAGAAGAAAAATAATAATAATAATAATAATAATAATAATAATAATAATAATAAGACTCAAAGGAATAAGTGAAGGTTTGAGAACCAATAGAAAAAAAAAAAAATGATAAGGTGATAACAAGAAGTGGGAGTGGTGAAGTTCGTGTGTCAGATTCGAATCTTTGGAAAGGTAGGAGCGTGTTGCGGCAGGTGAATATTAAGCCAAGTAAAATCAAACTAACTCAAGCCAACTCAACTAACTCAAGTCAATCCAAAGCAAGTGAATCAAAGTAAGCAAGCAAGCAAGTAAGTTGAACTGACTAAAGTCGAGGTCGCGAGATCGGCAGTGCGGCGATTTGCGAATAGATGAAAAGAGAACGAACCTCGTGCGAGAACGTAACCCTGACCTTGGACTCTCTCGACTACTTGGTACCGTAACTCTCTTTCTCTCTCTCTCTCTCTCTCTTTCTCTACCTTAACGTTACGTTAATAACGTCCTCGCACTTTCCAACAACATGATGAAGGAAAGAGAGAGAGAGAGAGAGAGAGAAATAAAACGGAAAAGAACCGACATGTTGTACTTTTCATGACACGAGTTAGAAGAGAAAGAGGAGAGTTACCGGTCATGTAAAAACCTATTTAGATGTATCACCGTAAGTACATGAAGTGTGCGTATCACGCATGACCTTGAACTTGACCTAACCTAACCTAACCTAACTTTTATATATATATATATTGTAATAGTTGAGACATTTCCAGTTGATTACAACGATGCAGTTATTTATTCGATATATGTATGTGTAAATTACTTGTTTTTTTTTTTTTTTAAGGTATAACATCGATGTGTTACCTTTTCCCACGAATCACAAAACCAATGATAAAATAAGTTAATCCTTCATTAAATCATTCTTATTATTATTTTTGTTATTTTTTGTTTGTTTTTATGGACTTTTGTCCTATTTTTTTTTTTTTTTTGGAGAAGGGGTGATTTTATGTTATTTTTTTCTCATTGCTTTTGTGCGCCATTTTCTTTGATTCCATTTTTTTTTTGGGGTACATTTAATGGAGTGCTCGTTTCTCGTATACTTTGAAACTACACCAGAGATCCATTTTTTTTTTTTTTGGAAGTAATTATATTTGACACTCATTTTGTTTCTTCTGATGATGATCATTATGATGATGATGATGATGATGATGATGATGATAATGATGATGATGATGAGATGATTAGGATGATGACGATGATCAACGATGATTTTGATAAAGATGATGATGATTAGGTTAGATGATGACCACGTTGATGTTGTGTTGATGACCAATTTAGATATCACAATGCATATAAATCCCTTGTTTCCATCTGAAGTAGATTTATATATATATATATATGGTGACGTATACGCACACGCACACACCTTCAACGACAGGGGTAAATGTTTTCCGAGGTAGTCAAGAAGTTCCGGCTGTTCGTCCTCCGTAAGTAGACGAAAATTACGGCCTTGTTTAACTGCTTGCGGGCACTCCATACTGAAATAGAAAAATAATAGGATAATTGTAGCTTTCTAATCATATATATATACATACATACATACATACATATATACATATGTATATATGTATATTATTTAATCTTGATAAGTTTCCTTTATAATACCGTATAATTTAAAATGAACTTTTCTTTTGTATCACGAGACCGTATAAATTAAATTTTCTATGAGTCTCACACGAGCTTTATAACAGAAATGGATTTTTATTACAAAAAAAAAAAAAAAAAAGAAAAACAATTGAGTTATAAATAATATAAAGTGTGGTTTAACGATTTAGTCAGATTTTACGATTAACCCTTTGAGTACTATGGACGCATATATGCGTTTAGTATAAATTACTAGCATGGTAGTTCGACAGATATACTTATTTGTTACATATATATAATATTAATGTAAAATAATATATATGTATATATATATTTATATAATATATTTATTAATATTATATTTATAATTATATTTATAAATATAATTTAATGTAATTAATATAAATATATTAATAAATATTATTTTATTAATTTATTAATATATAAATTTTGTATTATAACTTATTATATTAATATTACTATATTATATTTTTATAATATATAATATATTATTATATTATATATATATATATATAATAAAATATTAATAAATTATAATATTAATAATATATATAATTATAATATTATAAATATATTAATAATAAATATATTATACACACACAATTTAATACAAATTATATTATTAATAAATAATATTTAATAATTAAATTTATTAATAATTAATAATTATCTTTTTTTATTATAATTAATTAATATATTTAATAATTATTTATTAGTAATTAATTTCTAATTAATAAATTAATATTCTTAAATATTATTTATTATTAGAATTTAATTAATAATAAATTATTCCATTTCTGCAAAACATTTTAGATAAAATTATTCAACACTCGAACTCGGTTAAAATAACAAAAAGGAAAGAATTTAAAAAAAGAAAATACTGAAACTACCTTCTAAATATTTTTTGGATTCTTCTAATCAACAAACTCTACTTTAACACAAACTAACCCCTTCATTTGAATCGAACTTTTTACAATTGTTTTTTTTTTTATCGTAAATTTGTATCGTTTATATATCGTATTATTTTTAGATAAGATAAAAAAAAATTTAATAATAGTTAATTACATTTGTCACGAATGGATGGTTCTAATGGTTCTATTAAAAAAAAAAAAAAAAAAAAAATCAGAAGCAATTAACGTTTTACCAGACAACCATGTTGACGCAATCAAACTAAAAGTTGCAAATCAAAGTAAAATCGACATACACTTGACACAAATTTACGAAACACCTGTCCATATCGTTTTGCAATATTCGTTGTTTTACAATTTGAATAAATTCATTAAAATAATCCAATAATAACAATAATTAATTACAAATAATCTCCAAGGAATCCCTGACATCGTCAAAAAAAAAAAAAAAACGAGTTTCAATCATGGATTACAATCGTGTAGTAATAAAAATGTAAAATTTCATCCAATAACCATAAATATGATTTCAAAATGCGCGATTGATCAAATTTCCAATTTCATTTGAAAATACATAATCAAATTAGTTTCTTCTTCGTGTTTCAGCAACTATTTTGCAATAATCATTTGAAAATGACGTAATCCTGTGCAATCGTGAAAACTTTTAATAAGATTTATACATTGACATTAATAATAAATGTTTAATTACATTTCTCATTATTTGATTAAAATGTAGACAATTATTGAACAATGATGATGATGATGATGATGATTATAATTATGATTATAATTATATAATCCTTATTCAAAAGGTTTTTTCAAATATTCTCAAAAATATCAAATATAATTCAATTATAATAGTTAGAAATCATTCAAAATGTAATAAATACAAAAATTAATGATCAATAGTACAATGTGTAATTTTACAATTGAATTATCTATCAAATTATTTATTACAGATGATAATTGTATTATTATTATTATTATTATTATTGTATTTATAATGATCGTACA